AGTGCTTTGTGGTCATGTGATGGTTGTGCATATAATGTGGTAGTCTTTTCTGCATATACAATCAAAACTTTACAAACATACGAACAAACACGCATTAGTTACGAAAAATAGCAAACAATGACCTGACTACAGGTCAATGACCTCGCATGTTCTGAAAAGTCTGAAATATACGAAATGTAGGTACTGTCATGTCATATTGCTATAACAGCTTTAGACAACGGCAAATGGCTCAGAAACAAGTTGTGTGTGGTCAATTTTTTAAAAGGGTAATCTTTTTGACCTGACTTAGGTCACTGATCTTGGTGGATAAAAACTTCACATGAGCACAAAACATGACAAATTGATAGATGAAAAGTACTAAAAAATCGTATCACCGCGAGCGCTCATGCTTAACCTGTGCTCGAAAAGCCGTGGGCGGGGAAGTCAACTCCCCGGCCGGGCACGGGTTAAGCAATCAGCAGCTCAGGTGACTGATTAGGAGGCCAAACTAACAGTCGGCACAGCTCACAATCATCTCAATAGTCGCTCCGCAAAGCGGGTGGCCATTCTGTGCCTATATACTATTTACCTAGGGTGCGTTTGTCTGTCTGTCTGTCCCGTTTTGCGTTGCATTATCTGCGGGCCAAGCAAATGACAGCAGATTTGCAGAAGCACGTTCTTTATGTCACGTGCGCAGAAGCGACCTAGATAGATCACCGTTTTCAACCATTTGTCATACGTAGTTCATGTTTTATGCCATATCTTGGAGGCTAGAGCGGATCCAAGTGCGAATAGGATTTCAAAGCGTCGATTGAAATACCGTCTGTAATTTATGTGATCAACGTGAGTTCGTGCGATGCTTGGTTGCGCCAGTAATCTTCGGGTAAGCCGGGAACGACGGCATTTCGAAAAACGGCGCCGAATACAACACGCTGCCGTCGAAAATGGAGCCAGAATCATAGCAAAATTTCCATCGCTGCATGCACCGATTAATTTCTTGTATTTTATCACCCATTAGTTTGTCATTCTGAGCACTATACCATTCAAACATGTGCGTCATTTATAGGCTTTCAGTTTCACATTTTCTCGAAGTCAAAATCCTATCGGCCGATGGCTAAATCGACGCTGGTGAGCATTTCAAGTGAAAACGACAAAGCGTGCACGCGCCGCATGTTGCCGTCGTCTGGTAGCAGTCATCCATTCAATCCTTTGTTGCGCAGATGTAGCGAGAAAGGTGGGCCACCGTGGCGATGCAATGCACTGCCCAAACTCCTTGCATTGAGAAACGTCAGAGAAACCATACATGTCAAAAACATGTTGAGTAAAGAAGAATTTACAACAGGTGCGATGAGCGAGCCCAAGAAATGCATTTTTCAGCGATGCTTACTGTTGCGACAAAACAACACTCCCAGTGATTTCTCGAGTGCGTTTTGGAGATTCTCAAGAGTCTGACAACACAGAAGCATTGCAGCAGCATTGACCCGTGGCAGTAGCAAAATTGGGGAAATGTATTTGCAGTAATATCAAGTGCAATTTTCTTGAACCTCTGAAATGCATACAACGCTCCAATAACAACGCTCCAATCGCAGTGGAGATATGGAGAGCAGGATTCAAAAGCTGTACAATCACTGATTTCGTCTCAGTAAGCAGATTGTGGGCAAAAAAAGATCGTGGGCAACGTGGAAAATTTTGTGTGAACTTAGCAAGTCGTAAATGTTACTATATGTCACATGTGACGTGTGAAATACGACGCATTGTACTAACTATACGGAGGGAAATTTTGGTCTTGTAGATTTAACCGGATGGGATTGGAATTTGTTAAAAAGCTGATCAATAGCTTGCTTGGACTGACATTTGGCGGATGGGGTTGAACTAAATGCCGAAAATATAGTTCATGAAGGTCAGTACTTTGAATGTCTTCACGTGTCTCCGAATGAGTGTTTTCGAATGCTTCATGGCCGTGTTCGTGCCTGTTTTAAGGTATGCCATTGTTTAAAGGTGTTGCGAAGATCATTCGTAGCCATCCTCTGTTATACTTACACCAAACGTTATGCCTTTGAGCTGGCCTGACAACACATTCATGGAAAAAGCAATTGATACCACATTCACTGCTTTGCATTCCTGGCACTGTAAGACCAGGCCTAGCACAATCGAACTCTGCATGATCACCAGGCCCGCATCAACGGGCAACCGAAACAGATCCCAGGATGCCACATAGCGCGGCAAATCAATGGGTCGTCGTCGCGTGCGATTTCTAGCCCCCCCCCCCCGAATGGTGGCTACACAGTCCAATTGGCGGGCGCGGGGAGAGGGAGGGGGGGGGGGGGTCATCGGGCCGGCGGCGGCCAATCGAACGACCCGGTCAGGTGTTTGCCGATCACTCCGGTCGATACCGAGAGCTGATGATCCCCGGCCACAAAACGCCGGTCAAACAGCACGTACTGGGTGGCGCCACCGAACGGCCGACGGCGATCCAGCGCGCCCGTCTGACGTCACGCGTCGCGCAGGCGGTTCAAACGCCCCGCGTTTTCGCCGCCCCGCGGCTTCTCGATTGATGGCTTCTAGCCGTTGCATTCTGATGTAATTCGGTGCTAATTGGTCTTGATCGCTGTAAGTCAACAAGAGGCTACGCAGCACTAATCTCGCGTAAGCGGCGAAACAGCGACTGGGGTTGGATGAGAATCTCGGGTGAGACAACGAGTGATTCAGTCAGAGGCCAGGTGGTGATGAGCGTACCCCGTCTAAGTGCAGTGGTTAACGCGTTTGGTTACGGGGTTCGATTCCCTACAGTGTCCGCGCTTCCGCCAGGGCGAGAGGCAAGTGACACCGTATAGTCTAAGTAGCTGAGTGCGCCGTTAAGTCTCAATGACGACCATGAACAAGGGGAGAGTACGATTGGCGGTGTTAAAGAAAACCAGAGAGAGCGGATACAGCACGCCGTCCGTAGGGAATGTGTGTGATACCATTTCCCGTCGACTCGCTCATGGTGGTGAGCCCCACCTCTCAGCACCATCATTTAGCTGCGTCGACCGCTGCGCGTTGTTTGCCATTGACGCGCTCTGTTGGTAAGCCTGCGTGCTACGCAATACACATAGCAGCACATGTAGATATGTGTGATAACGTGCAGAGTCGTGCAGAGCTAGGGGCTGGTTTGGCGACATTGTTGTCCAGCTAGGGGCTGGTTTGGCGACATTGATGTCCAGCTAGGGGCTGGTTTGACGGCATTGTTGTCCATGCTTGATAAGTTCGGTGAAGGAAGCTATGTTCTATTCATCATCTTTTTAGTGCTAAGTTTCGTCTAAGAAATGCTCCACCCATGGAAAGGCTTTGTTTTGCACAACCACTGTGGACGAGGCAATGTAAATAATCAGCACATGATGCCCGTGCTTACTAAGCATATGTTGGGTATTTGGGGTGCGATGGTCAGGCCTCAGTTTTCAGAGGTTTAGAGAACATGTGAAATAAAATTGAGTTGCCATTGAGCACTGATAAATAGAGCATTCCCTAGTTCAATCGTCACCACCCTTAAGTACCGATGATTGGGAACAGGCTTCTGTATGACTGATCACTGGAAATGGGTTTTTATTATATGAATTGATGTGAGCCAGCAACTACCCATGGTGTAGTAATGCACAAGCTGTATGTAGCTGTGTTTCCAAATGAAACCAAATCTAGAGGGAAATCGCCGTGTCATGCTGAGCCAGTTTATTAGTATTTATTGCACACCATTCTGTTTTCACCCAGGACAGGTGCTGCAGGAAATGGCACCGCCAATATTTCACTTTGAAAGCGTCTGGGACGCAACTTGCATGAACATAGGATGTAATATGTTTGCAGCAAGTGTTGTGGTAGCTACACATATTTCTCTTGCTCAGCTGTATTTTGATGTTTCTGCGAAGAACGCTACTTGACCAAACGGTTTTGCGCTATCTTTTATTCATGGCATACCCCACCCAAAACTTCTTGCCAGAGTGACTGAAAGATACATTATTTCTTGCTCACATTTCACTGCTAAGCTCTTTATTCTCTTTGCGGGTGTTGCGCACTGTTTCATCGTGCCACTTCAGCAGTTTTCCTTTCAATAAGTAATGATCCTAAGGTCAGCATTATTATCTACGACACATTTACTTGGGTTGATTGCACTGCCAAATTAATCAAGAATTCATCAAAGTTAAGCTCTGTCGTATGCTAGTTCTTGGCTTTGAGAAACCCGTGCAAGATTGCTTGCATGTATTTTTGTTGTATATTGTACATTTAATGTGCATTTTTTGACTTTCGTAGATTATAGCTGCAAATTATACATTTCTGCCTTGAGAAACTGGATCATATCATTATACACCAAAAACGTACGATTTACGCCAAAAATATACGAATTTATGTTCTGAGAAACTGCTAACGAACGCTGTCTAATGGAAATGTATGGACAAAATTTATGCTATGAAAGAATTTTGGCTCGTCTAACTTTTGACCCGGCCCTACATTGCTTTGTGTGAGCTCTGAGTGAGGAGCCACAGATGACACAAATGGCCTCGTGCCGTATGATTGTTTCGAGATGGCAGTTAAAATGACACCTCAAGTCGGTACAATACACACGTCTACATGAAAGAGATAGGGCCCGCACGCCTGCGAGTGAATTTCTGCGGCATGGCGGGAGAGGCAGCATATTAAACGTCAAAGAGAAAAAAGTCTGCGCCTATATCGGTCAAACCCCCAAGAGGCTGTTTGTGAGATTTAATGTGACACCGCCAGGTAATAATAGAGATGCACTTCACGCTCAGGTAATGGTACGTCCATGGTTCGTGACTATGTGACTATAGCCGAGGCGCCATAAATTCCACTCAGGATATAAGTTTTAACCAAGAATGTTTAATAAGTCAAGGACTTTAGCTGAAATCAATTATACGCTGAAAGAGTCAATGTGGCAATTGCAGTGGCGGAGAAACATGTCGCCTTTTCAATGAAACCAATTCAAATTACTTACGAACATATTCTCCAGGGCGTACTTGGCTAGCCAGCAGTTGAGAAAAGCTGGCACAAACACGTTACGTAGTGGCGGCCAGAACACCTGGAACAGTGGGCAGCGACTCAAAACTCAGCACGGCGCTTTAGGGCTTCATAAGTCAGTGTCGCTAATCTGATCATTTACGACTTGGCACAACGCGTCAGGAGGTTACAACTAAGTTTAAGCGCACTCAGGGAAACACACTTTAGTAGAGCACATCAGGGGGTTCGCAGCACAGCACAACACATCAGGAGGTTCGCAACTCAACCCGACGCACCGGTGTTCGCGAACTGCGCATGAAGAGGTTCGAAATTCACCACAATGCACTGGTGGTTCGCTACCCAGCTCAGAAAAGTCCATCAGAGTGTTTATGACAGAATATAGCATATCAGCGGATCCACAACTCAGCACATCGTATCAGTGCTACAATGTCAGGCAGTAATTATGAAATACGTCATTCGAGCAGCCGCCGGTGCTGCTTAAGAAAAAAATGCAAAGAAATAAATCAGAGCAGTTTAGAAGCACGTCCAATAGAAACAGATGCTTGCCAGCCTTGCCGAGTTTTAAGCCAAGCTAAGACCACTCTGGACGCAGTTAAATCCGTCACTATTCGCACGGCTGAGGGCAGCTCGCGGGACACCCACGCGGCCGGAGGCGGCGCGCGGCGTCACCACCAGCGGGCAGGCAGCCGCAGAGAGCCGCGGGCGAGCCGACGGGAGTGGACGGTTTACACGCGCGGTGGAGCGCTGCGACGTTCGCCGAGCGTTGCGCCCCTTGAGTCGGCGCTGTACGTGACGGAGTGGCCGGTCGGGGCCTACCTGCCGCTGGACGGGCGGCACTGCCGCGCGCCGCTCGAACATCGCCAGTTGACACAAACGGACGCCAGTCGGCGCGCTAAGGCGCGGCTCGGCATCAGCGCTACTTGGACGGTGTGGCTGGGAAAAATTGAGCTAGAGGCTTTCCACAAGATTTACAGCGCAATTATTACCCTACCTCGACATTTTTAACCGTATGCAAAATTTTGTAGTCGTGATATAAACTATCGCGTTAGCCTTTTCGTTATAATGGGGTCATTTACGACCGGAAGCATCATAATGGGTCACAAAGTGTCCGAATCATCTCGGAATAAGCAAGTCACTTATCGCGGCGAAAATCAGGCCGTGTCCGCCTTCGAGCACGAGCCCAAATCCCCCGAACGTCCGGGCTCTCGTGGTTCGTTCCAGATGATCCCAGTGGGAAGCCAACAACGTCGGTGCGGCGCTAGAGGGGCTATCGTTCAGAGGCGTCCGAGCCAATATTGATGTATGCAGCCAATGGATACAATACAATACAATACAATACAGTTGTTTACCTTATATTGATGTATACAAAAAACAGCTTAGATGATCATTCTTAGTTTTGCTCCAATGACATAAACAGAACGGAAGATGAGGAGAAGCCCTGGTATTTCTCCTCGCTATTGGAAGATCAACTGACCCCCACCACTGAGTTTTACAATTTTGCAACGCATGCCAGCAGTAGCTGCCTAAATTATCCATACCATTGCAACTAGAAAATAAACAAAATATGCAGTGAAGAAATTGTGAGCTGGTTTCAGGTTCTGGTTGGGGGTCTATTACGCTCCCGTCAGACACTATATTGGCCCGACATCCGTGGGCCGCCAGGGGCCCGGGAGGACTGCGATTGCCCCTCGGCACTGTTCCGCGGGGCGTCATTACCACGGTCCGAGAGAGGTATGGGCTCCTAGTGAGTCCCATGGGTCGGCGCCCGGCGAGTGCGGCGGCATGGAGCGGCCCCTTGCCGCCATTGGGGCTCTCAATTCGGCCAGTAATGGACCTCGTCTTAATTCGAATTAGAGCTCTCGATGTAAATAGGGCAATAAATAATCGCAGGCCATGCAACAGGTCTCAGCGACGAGTTATAGTTGAGACAAGCCGGTGTGTAAGAAATGCGCATAACATGAGTTCTGTAGACATGTACAGAAAACATGGGCGGTGTGCGCCACTTACCGTCGCAATAAATGGTATCGTGTTCACTAGTTCAAGTATAAAATAGAAGCTCAACAGTTGCTGCCACAAGTTGCCCTGAAAAGCCAGCAGCCCATCAGATATATAAACATATTTCAAGCACCAACAACCACCGCAGGGGACAGCAGTTCAACGATACTCACATTGGAAATAGATGTGTTGACATGTTTCTTATGAGTAAAATGTGATCTCACATCAAGTTGTGGTTTATGAACAAGTAATCTCGGTCATGTTTTCCACCATATGCATCGAACATTGCGTTTTGAGAGAAGCAGTTCAGGACGGAAATTGTAAAACAAAACTTCAAATCTAAGCTAAGCATTAGTCCATTGTGGGCGTGGGAATGTGTGAAATCGGGAGTCTAGGAAGAGAGAGGAGGAGAAAGAAACAAAGAAGGGCGGGGAAAGAGACAGGAAGGGAGTCTGGAAGACGGAAATGAAGAGACAGAGACAAACGGAGAGGGTCAAAATAGAGGCAGACGAAACCCGAAACAGCTATAGAGACAAAACCGGAGACAGAGGCAGAGACAGAGACAGGGACATAGACAGAGGCAGAGACAGAGACAGAGACAGAGACAGAGCCAGCGCGACAGGGACGGGGACAGGGACAGAGCCGTAGTCCCTGGGCTGACCTTGTATGTGAGATAGGCGAGCAGCAGCGCCTCGGAGAGGCTGATGAGGGCGAGCCCGGTCTGCGTGATCCACAGCTCCAGCCGACGGTCCACCCACCAGATCGCCGCCCAGTTAATGCTAGGGCTATCCATGAACTGCTCCTTGGTGAGGTTGCGCTGGGTTTGGAACTTGGAGCGGTTGAGCGCGTCGCATCCGTAACTGAACGGTCAGACGAGTGGGTTTGTGTCAGCATCGGCCTCAGCTAGAGGACCGACGCCAGCGACACCGACACAGACGGGACCCGGTGGTCAGAGGCGGCTCATTTAGTGACAGCGACCAAGGGCGCAGCTGGGACTTTTAAGGGAGGGGTCTCCGAGGCTCGGTGAGTAGGCACTGCGCCAGTTTTACTTCTTTCGGGCTCCATCTATGGTAAAACACAAAAAATCCAAGGCTTAGGGGGGGGGGGGGCAAGGAGCTCCTTCCTTGACTGCAACCCTGGCAACGACAAGAGTTGGATGAAGACAAAATGCCAAAAAGTCACCTTAAAATTCGAATACGGTGAGCCGGGAACAGGGAAGAGTCGGTTTGCAAACGCAGATCTCAACGTATAAAAAACTTCCTCTTGAAGTCTACGACATTTTTAAACAGTAAAGCTTCACTCCCAAATCCATTCACAGGATAGCACTGACGATTGGAAAGTTTGCAACAAGGACCAGGATAAGCTGCAACGCTAAATTTGCCTCCGTGCATATGCAGTTCGAAGTATTCAGCTAACATATGGTCAGAGTGAGCTACATTTGCCAGGTTCCTTTTGAATTCTGGCAACATGCAGTCGTGATCGTTTACCATCGCAGACAGGCTAATGCCAAAATGCATTCATGGCGACATGGTGGTAACACCGCGGTCAGATACCCTGGCTGTACGGTCGAGAGGGAGTGATGGACATGATTTTATGGTGGCAGAGTGCGACCAGACGATTAGCTTGTAGTCATCTCTTTATGTCAACACTTTCTGGAAAATCCGTCACGTTGACAAACCTGTGACTGACTGAACAAACCTGCGATATCATCACAGTAAAACAGTGAGCGACAAATTTCTAAACCGCCGATTAAGAAGGCTTCTCGTAGAAACCTTCTGACGTGTTTAATACAGCGAAGTCCGTTAGGATGGAGCATTCCGTTGGTTTTGTCGAAATGTACCGGCAAGCTTATAGGATGGAGTATGGAGTAGTAGGAGTGGTAGTAAAATGTAGGAGGGCAGGCTTCCATGCACGAACGAGAAGCCACGTGTAACTAAGGTCGCGCTTTGTGGGTGAAGGAAAGACAAGCACGTCTTTCATTGCATAAGGCTGTGGAGTGGACAAAATGTTTCCGGTGGCGGTTTTTTCTTTCTGGCTTGCCTGGTTCTTGGGACATGGTTTTGAGCTGTGCAAAGTCTTGTCCCAGCAAATGTGGTATTCGCAAAAGGCCTGAGCGTAATTTACAACCCCCCGAATTTGAAGAAGCTGCGAACTTTGCCGTCCCATCTCATGAGAAACCTGAAGGCTGCAATCCACCACAGATGAATACGCAGGCGATCAATTATGTGGAGTTGGTGACGTCAGATGATAGCCCCCGCTGCTTTTAGGTGCTACGTCTTCGTATCCGGTATGCCCTTAAGCTACACAAATGGACATAGACAAAATAAGGTCACCACCCTTATGCATGTGTTAATGGTACCCATGTTCAGAAGTTCTGAACGCTTAAGTGGTTCAGTACATAAATGCCAACACGACGTGCATATGTCTAGTTTTCTGAAGTTGGTGCATCAATGGCTAAGGTCCGAGACCATTAGAAGCACATATATAGTCTACCTGTCACCATGAGCAGTTCCTAAAACGCATCAAATCTTGTTATGTCCACAGTGTGCATTTACCCAATTCTGAATTAAATAATTCCGGCCTGAGATAGACTGGAGCTCATATCAACGTATGGCAAGCCTATGATACACAACACGACAGGGCACTACGCTGCTGGGCTGAGGCACTGGGCCCAAACACGAAACGCTCAAAACATTTAATTGCATGAGACCATCTTGGACTAGATATAACTAATTGCTGGTTAACTTGACCTGCACTGTGTCACTGTAGCGTACAGTTTCATCTAAAGGCATACACGTAAGCAAAATGTTCATTCAATCTCAACAAAGGGAGCGAGTAATTCTGCCTCTATGCTTTTCCAATCTCATCACCAAGGCCTCCCACTTCAGGCAGCCAAATTTGTTGTATTTTTATTATCAGTCTGACATATCCTGACCAGATGTTGACACCATGAACGACGGCGGCTCCAGGTATAGTTTATCGCAAATAGCGAAGAAAAAATCGCAAAAGAAATAGACGAATGAACTGGCAGATTAGATCCCACCACTAAACGAGGATGTTCGACCGAAATATGCCTCCATATTATCCCATATGCGTCAGCGACCATTCGCCATGGTCGTTCAATATTTTACGTTGCCATAAACGAATGGAAAGGATATGCAATGGCGTGATGGCATGATGATATGACGTACGAGCAGTTTTCGGTGCTCAAACTAGCTTGTGATGGATTCTAACCGTTGGACTATTTCGATTATATCTTAAACGCTTAATGCTCTCGGGGAATGCATTACCAGACATTGGCACAGAGGCTTATCCAAAAACAATATTGAACGCCTTGTCCATTGATGAAGAAATGGCTATGGCATTCAGCAATGCTGAAGTATTACACGGGCGATTGCAAGAAGCCTCAGGGCGGTGCCCGGTGGCCAAATGCAAAGGATAAGCGTTGCTTACTAGAAGTTGTACGTATTTGAATCCTGTGCAAAAAATAGCCTTCCTTTCAACAATGCTTAACTTACTTGAAATATATATATGAATATTCATTTTATTCGCACCCATTTAGCGTCAGTCATGTCGTTGCTGTTCTGAAGGCGTCAATGCAGTCCCACCCATAACCGCTACCCCCTCAGCCTCGAGACGTGAGGGAGGTGCCGACGCAGTCCCACCCATTACCGCTACCCCCGTCCGCCTCGGGACATAGAGGTGCCGGCGCCAGCTCCGTCCGACACCGCTCTCGTGCGCACTCTGAAACTAGTCAGGCCGTGCTCCCACTGGTCCTCAGCGCTTTCTCGACCTTTTCTAGTCCCATGCCATATTCGGCACGTTCGTATCAGCCGCTAAGATACCTCAAAGAAGCTTTATTTATGCATAACATTGATACTATAATAAGAACTGCAATGCTAGGATGATTTCCGATAAAGAAGCTATTCGAGGTGGCAAATTTTCGTAAGGTGGGCTGAGCAGGCCTGACCCGCCGACCGTCCGGGTGAGGCTTGCCATTTCCCCACGCCCATCTGAACAGACCTGACCCGCCGACCGTCCGGATGGGGCTTGCCATTTCCTCACGCCCGTCTGAACAGACCTGACCCGCCGACCGTCCGGGTGGGGCTTGCCCTTTCCTCACGCCCGTCTGAACAGACCTGACCCGCCGACCGTCCGGGTGGGGCTTGCCCTTTCCTCACGCCCATCTGAACAGACCTGACCCGCCGACCGTCCGGATGGGGCTTGCCATTTCCTCACGCCCGTCTGAACAGACCTGACCTGCCGACCGTCCGGAAGGGGCTTGCCATTTCCTCACGCCCGTCTGAACAGACCTGACCCGCCGACCGTCCGGATGGGGCTTGCCATTTCCTCACGCCCGTCTAAGCAGACCTGACCTGCCGACCGTCCGGAAGGGGCTTGCCATTTCCTCACGTCCATCTGAGCAGACCTGACCCGCCGACCGTCCGGATGGGGCTTGCCATTTCCTCACGCCCGTCTGAACAGACCTGACCCGCCGACCGTCCGGGTGGGGCTTGCCATTTCCTCACGCCCGTCGGCCTTTAGACGGAGTGGAGGTGATGGCTTTTTGGCCCGTCACATCAGTGGTGACGTGACATTGTGTTTTATCGTGGCAGCTTGCAATGCACTCATCCTGTTAGTATCCACCCTTTGTGCCATCGCCTTCTTGTATGCTGTTCGTCTGTTGACCGTTCGTTCATCTCACGCGATCTTCCATCGTTCATGAGGCACTCTTGTGGTGTAGGTGAAGGTTGTTAGAGTCAAAGCTTGTCAGTGAGATTGCATAGAATATAGAAAACACGTCATTTGTATGTTATTTGAGTTAATGAAGTATTCTAAGTTGAAAACCAACTCTGAATAGGCCTGAAAAGTGAAACGATTGTCCTGCTTTTTCCTATTTAAATATGCTATAAGACTTTTGGTTATTGCTCCTTTCATAATTCTGATCTTAGTTCCATGAACTGCAATTGATTGCAGTTCATGGGACTAAGATAATATATATATATATATATATATGATCTAAGAGCTAAGAACTAAGATATATGTATATATATATATATTATATATCTCTCTCTCTCTCTCTCTCTCTCTCTCTCTCCTCTCCTCTCTCTCTCTCCTCTCTCTCTCTCTCTCTCCTCTCTCCTCTCTCTCTCTCTCTCTCTCTCCTCTCTCTCTCTCTCTCTCTCTCTCTCTCTCTCTCTCTCTCTTCTCTCTCTCTCTCTCTCTCTCTCTCTCTCTCTCTCTCTCTCTCTCTCTCTCTCTCTCTCTCTCTCTCTCTCTCTCTCTCTCTCTCTCTCTCCTCTCTCCTCCTCTCTCTCTCTCTCTCTCTCTCTCTCCTCTCTCTCTCTCTCTCCTCTCTCTCTCTCTCTCTCTCTCTCTCTCTCTCTCTCTCTCTCTCTCTCTCTCTCTCTCTCTCCTCTCTCTCTCTCTCTCCTCTCTCTCTCTCTCTCTCTCTCATCAGTGCCGACACAACAGCGTAAGACTAAAATAGGCCGCATAGTTCAAGGGACGACAGTGTTGGGTTGTGCGCAAGCTTCCACCTTGTGATCATTTTCGTACTTTACTCTCCCTGCACCAGTGAAAATCTGACGTGAAGCTATTAATGTCATGCGCGATCTCATATAAATCTGATGGGACTAGCCTTCACGGTTTGTTAGCCGGCCGTTAAGGTTTCCGACGCCGTGTGGGCTCAGCTTGGGAGCCCGGCTCTCAGGCCGCGGGAAGGATAGACCCTCGCACTCGTACTCATGCATGGCGTCGGGGGTGGACTCGTGGTTCGAAGTGAGACTGCAGAGTGCATGCATAGAGTTCGGCTTGGACTCGAAATGCTATCCTTGATTTTTATATTCAGAATCGTGTCTCGCATCTACGGTGCTGAAACATGTGCCTGTAAATCTAGACGTGAACCAAACCTGCAACATTTCACAACCAGTGTCGCACCAGTGTCGCGTATTCTCATTCAGACTATCGACAAACACATCCGTGCTATGTTTAAATAGCAGCGTTTTCGGATACTAACAAACCTTTCTTCGAATTTTGGAACAGCGTGGTGTGCATTGACATGGAAGTATTGACTGGAGCCGAGCGCATGGTAGCCGTCTAGATACTCATGGGCGGGCAGTCTTCAGTGACTCAAGCCGGCGAACCACATCGAGTCGACCCTAGACTGAACGCATGACTTGACCCGGTATGTGTAAGTCTTGGTCCGGTGCCGCGGTCTCCAAGGCGATAGTGGAAGGCTAATATATTGTGACCCAGTAAAGTCCCAATACGACGACATGGGTCGGGTCATCGGCCTCGGCTATTATCCCGCATGCATTTAGAGCGATAACTATGCAAATTTATTCATGAATTTTGCAGGCTATTGCCGGCCATAGGCATTCAGCTGTCTCCAGGCTTACCAGAAGTATACTAGTTAGCCATAGTTTTAAGACCCTGTCTGAACCAGCCACAAAGCGCATGAAAAGACTTAATTGCAATGGCATTGAGTGGTGGCATTCCCGCAGGTCGTTAGTGGGTTGTGTCGCGTGAAAATAACAGCAAACGCAAACAGCAACAGTAACACGTACCGGAATTTATGGAACTAGACAATCAGCCCTAAACCCACTGAGTGGTAACCCTGGCATCATGGACTTAATTTCGCTTGAACTCAGTGGAATGAGAGCCGATTCCGCCCTCTAAAGTCTGCCAATCTGTTGGACCGATTTTGGGGGGCGAGTTCCCCAGGGCAAGGTCGTTGGCAGAGATGCTTATTTTATTGTAGCAAGAATTCGACTTAACGGGAGTTTTCCACCGTTTGGGGCATATTTCAAAAACATACCCTAGTGAAACATCATGACTAATTACGTCTTATAATAGCAATGGGCACTGTCAACGCAGTACTGTCGAGACATGGTAAGGATATCAATCTTAATTATTTTCTAGTCCAAATTACGCTATCAACGCTTTGAAACAGCGCTCAGCACTACGCTTCCTCCCTGCAGTTGCGACCATCGTCATTCGTCATGATGATAACCCTGTGCACCTCTGCTGGTGCGACTAAAAGAACGTTTTTGATTGGCCCAGCGGGCAATGGCCTGTTATCAAGAAGTTGGTTGGTTGCAGTTTGAGCCAATGTGTCACGCGGATGATACGATGTTTCGTTCCCCAAAGCTGAAGCACCGTTGTGGTAAAGGACAGAGGGGAGAAATGCAAGACATAGTGTAACTTTTTGTTAAATTCGCGGAACAGTAGCTTCATCTTTGATTATTTTTTAGTGTAACCAAACTGTGTCAAACTTTCTTAGCATATATTACGCATACATTTTGACACATTGTGTGTTGCAAGAACTTCAGAACACACACGTTAAAGAAAGCAAGGCAAATTAAATGCACTACTTTATTGTGTGAACAGGGAGTCAAATCAGATTTCTCCCGCAGGGTCGACTATTTCAAATAGAAATTCTGAGCTATTCAAAATAATTTTGAGGATATTGGTATTGCTGATCAAATCGTACGCTTCTGATCTAACCATAAGAGAAAATGCAAAAAAGTGCATGCTCTCTTCAGATCAGGGACGGACTCAGAGAGCGAACCGAAGTATTTTCAATAGCTATCAAGAGCTAATTTGGCTCAGTTGACGCCAAATAATTTTGGTGCCACGTCAGTTCGCAGAGATATGACCCCACAGGCGAACACATTCCCACCTGTATGTGTGGCAGGACCTCTGTACACAGCAGCTTCGAGCGTTGTTTCTTGTTGTGGATTGGCTAGATGCGTTAGCAACTGATTGTAGTCTGTGACGGATGGAACAACTCACGCACCACAGGGTGACTTGAGATGGTCAACAGTGGAATGTCGAGTCATCATGTCGATGTTGACCCATATGTCTTATGCTGTCCGTTTGTCAGTTGTCTTATGTGACCTGTGATTTTATCAGTCATGCATCTCATGATCGTGATCTCTTCCAAGTATTTTGAAAAGCAAAATGACCGAGGCTATGGACTGTCCCCTTACGTTCGTAACAGCGACCGACATATGTGAAATAAAATGGTGGGGATGTGGATGGCAGGGCCATAGAGGCAGCCCCTACGCGGTCGCAGGTAGCAAAACACCCCAAGGCGATACCACAGCCAAGACTTTTTTTTAAGGAGAATGGGAAGCCTGAAGCCCAGTTAGCTCTCATCATTAGAGAGCTGAAGGTGCCGTCTAAGGCGCTAAAGCAAAAAAACTGACATCCAGAAAAGGCCTCCTTGCTCCCCTCTGGTTGCAACCCTGTGCCAATAACAAGTACGTATGCACAGTTTCGCACGAAGGATGAGAACAGCCCTTTTTTCATGAAAACCAATTTTAGCGCGACCCAGGTGCGTCAAGTTTCATGCATGGTGTCTAAAAATATCGTCTGTGCTCAAGTTACCTTATTTGCGCGCTAAGAGATCTAAGATATTTTTTAATTGATGCCATTTTCATCTATGAAGCCGTACAGTCTCTGAGCCACCCACTGGGAGAGAACATGACACGCAACGTGGGCTGTCGACACGTAATCGGCTCACATCAGTACGGTTTCTCTCCGCGCTGCCAAAGCTGCTGATTTCGCATCGAAAAATATGAGGGACTTTGCGAGGCAAAACGGAAAGCACAATTATTGTACATTGTGACTGCACTGCAGCACTATTGTGTCCCAGTGTGCCTCAATAACCGACGCGCTCACAAAACCGCCAAATATCATGATGTCTCAGTCAATTACGAGATAAGGTGAGCCACGCGGGAGCCTCAAGCAAATAATGAGGGTAGCAAATAACCCCTAAGATACCTCTCGGCTCGTAAAGACCAAAGGGCATTACGAAACTAATGCATCGGGTACGTATTCCAAACCTCACCGGCTCCCAGCTCATTTAACCTGAATTACTAAGAATGCTACACTTCCAAACCCGGCAAGGCTTCATCGCTAATGATGGTGCACTGTTGCTTTGCAACTGAGGAGCCATTCACGGATGTGGAGCGACGTAGGATTGTTCTCTGGAGAGAGAGCCAAACAGACATTTGTTTGGAACTGCGCAGAATAGTATGGAAATTCTCCATCTATTAAGATATCAGAAACGACTATTACCTAGATCACAAAACGGATGCGAGCGATAAAAGCATTATAATTAGACATGGTTGAAACTGCCAAATAATAAACGCAAGTTGCACAACACATCTTAATTAGCTTTCAGAATTACGTGCATTTGTATGTAGCTACACGGTTAGGCAAAATTACTATATCGGCGCGACTGATAAAAACAATTGCTCAACGCATGCCCCATCAGCAGGACCGATACAAAAAGCTGAAGGGGCCGGACTTACCATTTTGCCATGATCGGGTCGTCGTCAATGGCGACTCGGACGATGTACAGCACACAGGTAAGCAGCTTTATCACCAAGTTGAAAATACGTATCCGAAGGCCTGTTGGAAGGTGTCATGTTCTAGAGGCATTTGACCCTACCAGCCACAAGCAAGGGCGACTTGGATAGCGCATCACATCCCTCTGAGTGCATTTTGACAGTGCGATCGGCAGCCACCCGCGTATGCTCTGTTCACGACAAACGACATCACGGCGTGGTGTGTCCGTCATGCTAGCAGCGCGGTTCCATATTTTGCTAGACTCCAGATGTCATCAGCATGGGATATAAATAATATTGCAATGCGAAGAACTACTAGACATGTTCAAGCGTCTGATCAAACGTTTATAAACATTTGTTACATTAAAAAGCGAGCTCAAAGTAGCTGAGACCAGATGCATCTTACTAGATCTTTGATTTTTGATGAAGTAGAGGTGTAACCGCTCCTTCAGGGTGTTCTCGTTGACGTAGTATTCCACACGCACCCTGAAACAAAGGAGATATCATGAGCATTCGACTTGCCATCTCCCGCGCCATGGACCAAAATGGTCATCTGAAACAAAGGGCATACATCAGAAGCGTTTGCAGCAGTTTGTAGAAGTAGACACAACATATATGACGCTCATCATCAACCGGAGCGGATTTACCCCGTGTCGTCGAAATCCTCTCGACCAGGAGCGCCCGCGCCTCAGGCGGACCTGGGCGCGGTGGGCGCACGAGCCGCGCCACGCGCCGCACGTACCGCGGGATGGCCTCGTAGCTGTCCATCAGGTGGAAGCAGAAGGGCCAGAGGTAGGCGCCGCATGGCTGCGCCGGCCGCTCCAGCTCGCTGCACGAGTCGTGCCGGTCGGCCAACAGGTGGACCGAGCACTCGCCGTCGCTGCCACGGCACTCGCTGTCATACACGGCGTCCGACGAGTGCGCGCGCGTGAACATGGCGGCCCGCCAGCGTGGAGGAGAGAGCTGTTCCGCCGCGCTCGCCGAAGGCTACCGCGGTGCGTCACTCAGTGCCGCCCGGTGCTGTGATGCGTTCAGTATAACCGCGGTCGGACCCGTTTGGTGGAGGAGGCAATGTGCCGCGACCTTGCGTCGGCGGAGCTTTGCTTAATCGAGTTGGCGAGGTCCCTCGTCCTGTCCGGCTCAGCTCGCAGCCTCCAGCAACTCTTGCGACCAGTTCAGCGGGCTACCGCACATCCCGTGTCGAGCTAGTCGGCGAGGGGGAGTTTTCAGTGGCGTCGATAAGATCGATCCAGTTCAGAACACTCAGCTGGTCTAGCCACATCCACCGGGACTCATTGAGCCTGACGTGACCTGGGCTGGAAATGGGCGGCAGACCCCGAGCTGTCTTCGGGCCTGAATCAGTCCTGCTGGCCAGGAGCCACAACTTGGCTGTCGAGAGGCGCCCTCGCCGCTGCCGCGTGCGTCGTTTCGCGGCGGCCTCCTACGAACTCAGAGGCCCTCGCGGCGCGCGCCTCGATTGTGACGCACGTTGGTGGCGCGATACTCTGGGGCGTTAATCACAGGTAGGTCACCAGCTGCGCTTGTGCCAGGTCGGGATGCGACTGATCTTGGATGTTGTACAGCGTACCGTGGCGTCTGTTTGCAAATAGCTGCGGAGCGAATAACGAGTTCACGAGATAGAAATGATCACACACGTCGGCTGCGGCAAATGAGTGGAGATAGAGCAGGATATTGGCGACGTCATCTGTTGTCATGCGAATGCTAAGCATATTCCTCACAAAAGCCAATTTCTAGTTTGGCTTTCGTCTCACCCGTGGGATGTCCCGTTTCTCTGAAGCCTCATAACACAGCCAGCCCCACCGATCTCGGTTTTCACGCGGCCCGCCCCGTCATCCCACGACCCCTCGCCCTTCTCCAGCCAGCGCACGCCTCGAGAGTGACCCAGCCGGTCCCGGGCGAGGGCTGGGCGCTGGAGCCGGGGTCGTCCGCGGCAGATCTGAGAGAGAGCCGGGCCGCCAGCGTCCGGCGCAAGTGCGGTAGTGTACTGGTCTTGACGCGTCGAGGCTGGGTGCTGGAGCCGGGGTCGTCCGCGGCAGATCTGAGAGAGAGCCGGGCCGCCAGCGTCCGCCGCAAGTGCGGTAGTGCACTGGTCTTGACGCGTGTCGGGCTAATCCACTGTAATTTTTTTTTTGTCGTTGATGGCGATCTCTTCTAGAATGTTTCCTACAGCGGAGCGCTTCGCGCACTGATTGGCAGGCGTGAGGTAATCGGGGAAGTGGACCAGGAACGATGCACTCAAAGGTCCGATTCAGCGTCACAGTCTTAAATATATCTCCTTCAGAAGCAAATACGGCGGACAAGGCGTCACTTCATAGAATCAGTTGGGGAGGGAAAATGAGCCGATAGCGTTGACCTAACCTGCTCCCAAATCCTGATTGTACTTCAACTCGTGCCTCCGATATCAAAATATTAAAACCTTGTAACCCGCGCCCGGAGGAAGAAAGGTGATCCTCCCTAATGTTTTTTTTCGAGGGCAAGTCAAAACAGAATGCTCGCAGCAACACGAAATTGTCAGTAGTTTTATATGCATATTTATTAATTTCACATCCTGTGTGCCGATTTGAGGTTTTGATCAACCGTGATTAGTGGCCCAGACTAGGTCAAAGAGGCTAACTTCTAAAGGACTTTTAGCAAACAAAACTTTTTGTGGGAATTGGCCGTTGCTCAATCATATTATGACAATAGAGCATGGGAGTACCTAAAGCTTGTGTACATCACACTTTTCAAAACAGGCAAGGTCAGTGTCCTGGAGTCAGGTCAATTTTGCTTCTCTTCGTATAAGAATACAGTTTTCGCGGATTTTTGCATAGCTTTGGTGTTTGTATATCAGGAAAAGCCCTAAATCATAAGCACAACCCTCATATGACCACAGAGCACATGACCTTGGCCAGGTCATGAGCCACCTTCATGAGAACCTTCTGAAAATCACGTCGAGTCCAAAACAGGCAGTTTTACTGGGACATTTTGGACGCAAGATTCAAATGTTCTGTTGAAAACATGCTGATGCATCAAACTAACGCATGATGAGATTACAATAGATCACGCAAGGGCATGCAATATCACATGTGGTCATCCAAGGTCAGTACCTCATGTTGAAATTGCAGAAAGACTAGATGAGCGAATGCGACGCGTGTAACCACCTCCCTATCGTGTTTGTGAAGCTGATGACGCATAAGTTCCTGTGCCAAAATGCCAGTTCTCAGTTTGTTACACATATGTTGCCGAGCGTCGTCGTTGAACAATGCATAAATACAACAGGTATCTGGAGCACCTGCAGATTCACAACGCACTACTTCTGACCAAAAAATCATTATACTGGTCACAAAGACCCGGTTAACATTTCCTACGTTTTCTTTGCGTAGCTTATGAATGTGACCTAAGTTGACCCAACATGGCCCCTGGGTCAGCCTAAAATGATATATTTGTGTATGGAATACTTTTGCCTCACAGCTGAACTTAACAAGATAAACTTAGAAGCATCTTGTGAAAGTGACATCTTATGAAGTTACTAGTAGACCAATTTTTAGCGGTCATCTCCGACCTGACTCTTGTGGGGAACATAAATGGTTGGAATGGAATCCCACAGTCCTACCGCTTCTTTCCTGCCATCAATATCCGTTTTAACATGTTAACATAGGTTATAACTGCATCCATCAGAACCACCGCTTTTTACATCTCGTGAGCTCTGGTGACCTGACGTTTGACCCACGGCAAAAATTTGGTCGTCCATCCTTCACGGTTTGACGAGACCTTTGCAAGAGTTTCCTTGTTTTTCTCATGCGGCGCCTGAGAGTTGGAGATTCCTGGGAAAAATCGACTTCCCCGACCGAGTGCGTTTGTCTCAGACCCCCGGCCGGGAGCGGGTTAATATTTTAGCGGTTCCAAAGTTGGTTTCATAGTGAGAAACAATTTCCCTTTAAAATCCGTTGTGAGCCTTGGCTTTGTAAAAGGGTATAATCTAATTCATTTGTACTAAATCGCCGGCTGTGGCCAGCAAAAATAGGTGTCGTTTCCGCTCATCAATGACGGTCTAAAGAACGCTAAAGACGGTTTGATGCAGGGTGGCGAGATCCAACACGTATAGAATATAAGCTATACAAGATAATGCACACTGCCAGAATGTACCTACATAAAAAGTGACAAATTAACAGCACAACCTGCTCAAATTCTGACAGTAACCCGGAACATTATGTTGAAGTGATGTGGTCATGACTCACTCATCACTGAGTGTTTAGCGTGGGCGTTTACCCCAAAAATATACGCAATCGAAATGTTAGGACTTCTTAAAATCTCTTAAAAATAAATGCCACCTCCCCCAAGCGGGCAGTCTTTATACTACAAATGCGGAGAGCGACGTGTATAACATATGATCATTAGTCTTATGAACGTAATGGTTGTAGTATATCTTTCTTTCCACGCGAACAGATATCTGGAACAGCAAGGGAGGTCTCCGGAAATCACCACAACATCTCAGTTCTACAGTACAGCAGCATCAGGTTCGCAAAGAAGTCGTAGACATATCAAACGAGCAGCCTGTCCTTATGCGAAACTACTATTCAGACATGGTTACCAACATTAAAGTTAACCCACGCTTCGCTCAACAGTGACAAATATCTTTGTCGTACAATCAATACTGCGGGAGAAATCGAATCACCATTCGGTGGCAAGACATGATAACAAACAATGTCATTTATTAGTGAGCTCACATTTGTCAAATCATGACTATACATCAGATGTTTTGAGGGCAATAGCAGTTGTTGACAGCGCACCATTGCACTGATCGCTTACAGGGGGGCCCTGGGACGACTTCAGGGATTGGTTGGTACGAGGAGTGACTGCAGCAGGACGGAGCGATACCGAACACGACACGGGCTTCATTGGATTAGCTGCAATGGTATTTCCCCTGAATAAATATCAGCTTAAGACTGCCCTGGAGGGGCTTCGCACTCGCCCAACCTGTGGCCACTGGACTTCATGCTGTAGGGTAATCGACAGAATTGCGTCCACATGGACAAAACAGCGAACCATCAAGGGCCCCAGCCCGCCTTCAGACCTCAGATGAAGCGCATCACTGTCGACAAGAGCGACAGGACAGCCGGCGACCTGCGGCAGGTGTAGCTGTCTTACATCCCGGACCACCAGGGAGCAATCTGAAGAAATTTTTTGTAGTCATGAATTGAGGGATGTAAAATCTCCAGCTAACGATGCTGCTACTCGTGTTTTGCCGTTGAATTGGCAGCCACATGCCACCGTAGTCACGACTGTGCGACATACACACATGCCATTGTTAGCATTGACATTGGTTAAATTTGATCTGGGCCACCCTGCACTTTGAAAGCCGGCGCATATTACAACCCATTTCTGTCCTGGTAAACCTATTTGTCACTCATTAAGACTTACCAACGTTTGCAGATTGGTCTCACATGCGGGGAGCTGGCCTGATAAAAAACTAGATGCCTTCACAC